ATATTACATACTTTAAAAATTAAAAAAAAAAAAAAAAGCTTTTGATACTACCAATGATTTTCAAGAAGTGTGGTGGTAAAATTGATGTTATTTTATCATTTTATTAATCAATTTTCATGATAAGATTAAAATTCTTGTGATTTCTGCAAGAAAATATTTACATGGCATGGGTAGCAATAGTCTTTTTTTTCCACTTCAATTTAATGATTTCCATTAATTTCTATTGATATTTATTCTTTAGAGAACATTTGTAAATAAGAAATGCATCCCTCTTGTGTATCTTTTTTTTTTTTGCTATCTGTTTCAAATGATTTGTTTATGCTTTTAATTACGAAATAAATTATTATAAAAGTATAATGATCTTTGACCAAAGAAGTAATGAATTTTGTCCAATTTAATTTTTTAAATATTTCAATCTTGATGTGTTTAATTTCATAACAAAATTCTAATTTTTAGTTATTTTTGCATTCATTCATCCATTAAATACATTAAAAATATTGGATAAGGTTAATTGATGAAATCAGAAAACAACGATAGAACAAAAATATCAACTGATAACATGGATTATTCATTAATTGTTCAATGATTAACATGAAATATGATAAGTTAATTTTTATATCGTAATAAGTTACAATATTGATAAAAATTAAAGGAAAAATAAATTTGATCATATTAATTCAGCCAATTTAATTCATAAATATTATTTACTTGTAACAAATTTTTCGAAAATATATTACAAAATTAATTAATGACGCTGATATTGATTGTAGTAGCAGTTTAATCAGAATCATCACTGTAGATAAATTCTTCGTAATTCTCGATATAATCATTTTTATCATCATTTTTCTTGTCTATTGTATCGAACATATCCATTTGTTCTACCATTGCATCACTTTGTAAACCTTCAGCTGGTTTTAAACATTGACTTTCCATTAATTCTTTATATTTTTATCGAATGAATCTGATTTCTGAAATAATAATTAAATTTTTTTTTAATTTGTAAATATTTAAAAAAATATTTCTAAATATTTCCACTATAAAATGTAACGTATTATTCGAAATAAAAAAGAAAATTAAAGAAAAAATTCAAATAATCTTTAATCGAATTAAAATAAAACGAAAAAAC